CGGTGCATCCGGCTTGTCCGCTGCCCACGTGCTCCCCGTCTCCCTGGTCTGGGGAGACGTGGAGCAAAGCTGCGGAGCACGCGGGCAGCGGACAACCCAGACGCACCGCGGCTGTCCCGCTGCTGGCGTCCTCAGAGGCTTTGCTTCCTGTCTCCCTGGTCTGCTGGTCTCCAGCAGACCAGGGAGATGGGCAGCAAACCCCGTTAGTAACTGCGGATCCGACATAAGTCGGATCCGCGTAACTCGGGGACTGCCTGTACAAGGTAAAAATAAAGAACATTACAAAATTCTTTCATATTTGGGAACAAATGAGCAATCCAAAGATTTATAATTTGAAGAAAATGACCTACTTTGTCATTGTCAAAGTTAGGGATGTGAAAATGTAACCATGTACATGGTTAACTGATGAGCCTGGGTTCATCGATTAACCTTCACAGTTACGCACAGGTTACCAGTATGCACGGTAAGCCAGCTTGAAAGTAACCGCCCACTGCGTACTGGCTCCAGGAGAGCCACCTGTCCCTCTCCCCGTGCTGCTGCCTCTATATAAGAGGCAAGAGCACAAGGAAGGGGGGTGGAAGCCATTACATGTAGGGAGACAGCTTCCCTCCCCACACTGCTGAAAAATTCTTAATTAAATTCTTAAGCTTTTCTTTTCAGTGAAGAAAGCCCACCCTCTTTGAATTCCCATTTTTGGAGAAAAACTCAAGTGAGGTATTTGAAAGAAAAAAAAAAACCCCAACCCACATTTGGAGAAAAACTCAAGTGAGGTATTTGAAAAAAACCAACCCACGGGTAAAAAAGCAAAACAAGAAAAGGTGAATATACTTTACAAGCCTGAACATACTTTTTAATAAACTCATCAAAGCATCTGGGTCAACCTCATGTCAAGCTTATCACAAAATCCTCCTGGACTCCTAGGTTCTTTCTTTTAGGAGTTAATGGCATTGGAGGGGGATGTGGAAAGATATCTACAAGAAGCTCATGCAGCTCTGCTAGTCTTGACATATATTGATTAGTGATATCTTACAATCTGAATACTTATTAAAGCCTAGAAGGAGATAAAATAAATAATGGATGTGATACTAACTTGTACTGATGGCTTACTGAGCAAATCTGAAGCAAAGAAATGAAGCTGGAGGTCACAAGGTGTCAACCATAAGAGGTACTTGAGATTCAGTGCTAAACTGGGGCCAAAAGGGGTAGAGAAATCTCAGCACTATGTCAGTACACTTCCTTAAGGAGGAAACAGTAGATGCATCAATGCCCTAAGTTTACAGGAGAAACAGATTTGCAATGCAAGATAGCCAAATAAAGATGAGGAAAAAAGGAATGGAGCACTAGATTCTTTGAAAATGCAGACAGCTTAGGTTACGGCAGAGACAATGCACCCAAAACAATAATTTTAAAAGACTGACCCAGGATGATAGCAACACTGAACACTGCTGCAGGCAGGAACTATCTGCAAAAAGACGATCATTCCCAGAAAGTTCAAAACAGCCTTTCTGAAAGGCAGTGTAGGCAAAGATGCTACTAAAGGTAGTTCAAGCAATTATTGTTGTATTTGGCCTCTGCTGTAAAATGGTGCCTCCTCCCATCACCCTGCCAAACCACAACAGAGCAGGGGAAAATCTCCTTTTGGGGGTACAAGGACCCATGGGAAAGAAAAATGTAGAATGAATCCAGCTAGAATCTGAAGCCGGAATAGCAGCTGTGGAAAGCAAGGCTCCATGGATTCTGACATCATACAACCTCTTTCTGAACATCTTCTTCCTGTGCAGATTCCCTGCTTGCTCCAGGTCACTCTCAACTGCTTTCCTCATAGTCTCCAATCCCAAATCCCTTCCTAAAATAATCGCACAAGGAATTTAAACACCAACACACAACAAAAAAATTGCAAAAGGAATATGATGGTGGTAGCCATCATATTGCTCACTCTGACTGTATATTTTATACCTTTTCAGCTTACTCTTTATCGGTCTTGTTTGTTCTTACTATAAGAAATTCAAGGCAGGGACTGTCCCTTATTCTATGTTTGTACAGTGTCTAGTATAATGGGCATCTATTCTCAGTTGATCCCAATGAACTACCATAATAAATATTCTTAATAATAATAATAATAATAATAATAAAAATAATGATGATAGGAACTGAAGGGAGGAATAAATGGGGCAACACTATGGCTGGCTCCAAAAATTAAAGCTTTAAAGCTATCAGCTCTGAACCATAATTTAAATATTTAGCCATTTACTTTTAAGGGCCATGTTCTATTTCCCCACCATTTTTGGACAGACAATTTTGACCCTCCCGCAAAGCATTTAGCACTTCTAGATAACGAGCTTTTCTGGAGAAAGTTCTAACCTCTAATATTAATAATGCTGGAATTTCTCTGTTGAGGCAGCATGCATAGATGTCTCTCTGAGGGAAAAAACCTGGTCAACAAAGCAGGTGTGCATGGTTAAGGTTCAACTCCATACTCAGGGCACATCTACACAGCAGGGCTAAACTTGAAATAAGCTACGCAACTTGAGCTATACTAATTGCGTAGCTTAAGTTGAAATAGCTTATTTCGACTTTTGGTGCTGTCTACACTGCAGATATTTTGAAACAGAGCACTCTTGCCCCGACTTCCCTGACTCCTCATGAAATGTGGTTTACAGAAGTCGAGTTATTTTGAAACAGAGCACTCTTGCCTGGACTTCCCTGACTCCTCATGAAAGGAGGTTTACAGAAGTCAGAGTAAGACACCTGTTATTTCAAATTTATTTCAAAATAACGGGTTTGCTGTGTAGACTCACATTACGTTATTTCAGAATAACTGATGTTATTCCGAAGTAATGGTGGTGTGTAAACATGGCCTCAGAAATGAATATGTTTAATGGAAGCAAGCAAGTCTTCAAAAAGGCACTATTTCTAGTTAACTAACTAGCTGGCTATTTAAATCCAAAACGAAAAAGAAAGGCAACTGAATTCTAATATGTGAATGAAAAAGTGACTAGTTGACACACTAGTCAACTATTTGAGGCAGCAAGGGGCAGGGGCCAATCAGAGGCAGAGGTGCTGGGGGATTCCCCCCCAGCTCAGCTCCGTGGGAGGGGGCAGGGGCACAGTGGCAGCATCTCACCTTTGAAATGTACAGTCCTCACTGGGGCTCTTGTACATTTAAAAGTGGAAGAGCCACACAGAGCTCAGGGCCAAGCAGGGGACTCTTGCTACATTTCAAAGCGGAAGCACCCTTATCAACTAATCAAACTAATTAGTTGATTCATCTAATTTTAACATCTCTAGCAGGAAGCAGCATGGACTGCAGGACATCTGGTCACCACTTCCTGCAGCTCTCATTGGCCAGGAACAGAGAACCATGGCCACTGGGAACTGCGATGAGCCATTCCTGCAGGCGGACAACGTAAACAAAATGCCTAGCAGCTCCCTCCCCCCAACAGATTATCCTCCTAGGTCACATGTCAAAGGTTGCCAACCTCTGAAATATACTGTGTGTCTGATTTTCTTTTCACAGCAATGGAAACTGAGCTTTTGTTGACTTTGGTTTATGCCCAATGATGCCTAGAACGCTCCCTAACATTTCAAAATGTATCTGATGTGCAGCACCACAACCCTTCAGGCTATGTTACTGTTAAGGAGTCAGAAGAACTGTATGTTACAGGCAGATGGTGGGAGGGGCAGGAATTGTCTCAATCTCTGAACCTATATTTCCTACCCTTAATTCTTCTAGATCACCACTCATATGAGAAACACAAAGCACTGTACAGGGCTGAAGAAATACACCTTCCTGCCCCATTGGGCCAAGAGAAGAGAAAGGAAATTAAGTTTCACTAAGATCAGTTACTGACACCTTGATACCCTGCTGCTCCCCCCGTGCCTCCACTATCCAGACTTGCAGCCTCCATGTTGTCTTTTTCTCTCACACACATTCCCACCCAAACATCCTGTCTGCTAATGAATCTTCTTGGTTCTCCATCACAAACACAACCGCAAACAAATCCCATCAGTTCCGCACTGTGCTTATGTAGGACAAACTATATACCCAATTAAAAAAAGCAGTCCATTAAGCTGCTGCCAGTGATGTGTGTACACAGAAGCAGGGACTGAAAGAAATTTCTATCTGCTGTACCATATGGGCATTCTATGGGCCTGACCAGTGGAAATCAGACTCTTGTTAAGGTTAGGGAAAATTGTAAGAGTTCTGCCCATTGATGGCTACAATGTTCCTTGCAATTTTAGAACGCTCAAAAGTCATCACATTAAATACACAAAGAAGGACATGCCCTAGAGCTGAGTGCAGGGTCTCAGTTTACTTAGTCAATAAGCCATACAGATACGTATAATGTTAGTGAAAAAAAAAAGATTATAGTTCCTTTATGTTAAAACTCTGACTTAAAATCTTCTTAGGAGGTTTAATGTATTCAAGTATATGAACCCCCCCGGGTGTATTTTGCAAGTAGGATGAGATCTCAGAATACACCTTTTGTCAGTTGCTCCACTGTGATGGGGTGGACAAAGCCCGACCTCCCCAATGGAGGCCTTTCAGCACTCTGGCAAGCAGCAGGAGCAGTGGAGAGGTTCTCAGAGCAGGGCAGAGGGATATCCTTCACTGCAGCCAATCAGGATGTGGCAGGCTACTATACAAGGAGCTGCTCGCTAAAACCTGTCAGTTCCTTCCTGGAGCTGACTGGGAACCTCTGGGCTGACTGGGAACACCAGAACCTTGGTCAGCTCTGAGTGGGAGCTGGGCCCTCATAACTAAGTGGAGCTAGACCTGTGGCTAAAGGCTAGCCAGCAACAATTCTGAGGAACCCCAGGCAAGGGGAACTGTGCAACAAGGCCCTAGAGAAGGGCTGGATGAAATGGCATCCCAGGGAAGTGGCTCAGGGACATGACCATAATTACAGACTTTGAAACTTGGCAGGTAACTGCTACGTATAGGGTCCCTGGCCCAGGACCCAGAGAAGTGGGCGGGCCTGCATCCCCCCCAACCCTCTGCAAACCACACCTGAGTGAGGGGGGTAAAAGAGGAGGCCTGACCCTCAGCCACATGCTGGACTTTGGCTCACCCTCAAAAACTGAAGCAGGAGTACAGGCAGTCTCAGATGAAACAGCAATGAATTACCAGCCACATGCTGGACTTTGGCTCACCCTCAATAACTGAAACAGGAGTACAGGCAGTCTCAGTTGAAACAGCAATGAATTACCGAATACGAGTACAGGGTGAACCTCAGAAATCCAGGACACTCTGGTCCGGCAGGATAACCGATGTTGCTGGACTACAGAGCTCCAGAGCCTGGGAATGCAAGCTGGACAGGAGTCCAATGGTGGGGAGCCCCACCATTGTGACTGGCGTGCCCCATCGTGGGGAGGCCCAGCTAGGTGTGGTACAGCAGGGCAGCCATGGAGCCCCAACTGGGTGAGACAAAAGCAGGGCAGCTGCAGAGCCCGGTTCCTGGAAATTCCCAACTAGGTGAGACAGAAGCAGGGCTGCTGTGGCTGGGAAGCTCCGTCCCCGGAGAGCCCCAGCCAGCTGGCAGAAGCAGGCCAGAGCCTAGCCTAAGCCCGGCAGCAGCAGGGGTTGAGCAGAGCCAGCTGGAGGGAAGGGTAGTGTCCTGGGAGACTGGTTGCAGGGGAGCACCCCAATCCGGCAAATTCTCTAATTCAGGATGGGTCAGGCCCCAAGAGTGAAGGATCAGGGAGGTCCAACCTGCTGCCACCCCCCAACAACATAAATGTGTTTAAGTACTACATTGTTAGCTATCTGGTCTCCATTTTCATCTGTCAAATTCATGCATAATTTTCTTATATTCCTCATTCTCTTGTATCAAACTCATAATATCTTTTATTCCTATAACAAGAATCAGGCAATAACCCACCTGTAATCCCCCCGAACAGTCTAGTATCCTGAATTTCCTTGAAATTTTTAAAAACACACTTGTTCCACAAAACCTACCAGTGATAACATCTACTCATCACGGTCTGTTCTTTGTATTTATCTGTGAAGTCTTACAATTTTTGAGGCTGAAATTATGTTCTTTGTTCATAGTATTCTGCACATTAACCAGTAACAAACCAATTACAGGTGCTCTAGTTAATACTAAGAAACAACTGTGATAAGTAACAATACATTATTGATAATAAATGGGGGGAAATTACTTACCTGAACATAAGCAAAGGAAGTTTTTGCAAGTCTTTGGACATACATCTGAGAACAGTTGAAACATAATTCGACCAACTAAAAGAAAAATGAAAATATGTGGTTCAGAATTTTCAGTTTGCCAATATTTTGTTGGACTAAACAAGTAGGCATTTTTATTTACCAATTCAATGAAAGTATATTTTAAAAAGTACATTGAGAACTGAGCAAGTTCTGAAAATTGTATTATTATACTAACTGGCTGGAAAGCGATAGTGTAACAGTTTATCTGAAATTAAAATTAAATAACATCACCATATCGTATGAAAAATTCAAATATCTTAATATTTAGACCAGGACTGGGCAAAATAGAGTCCACTAAGCCACCATATCCAGCCCGCGGACTAGAGATGGTAAGGACTACAGGCAGTCCCCGGGTTACGTACAAGATAGGGACTGTAGGTTTGTTCTTAAGTTGAATTTGTATGTAAGTCGGAACTGGTACATATTGTAGGGGAAACTCTAGCCAAACATTTCTCCAGAGCTCAGTTTTATTCTCCCACACCTCACTTCCCTCAGTCCTTTATTCTCAAGCTGAGGTGTTTGCTGAGAAAAGCCGCTCCGCGTCTCCCTAGTCTGCTGGGGGGGCGCTAGCTTCGCGTCTTCCTGGTCTGCTGGGGGGAAAGCAGCTAGTGCAGGGTTGCCTCACCCTGTTTGTAAGTAGGGATCCGATGTAAGTCGGATCCATGTAACCCGGGGACTGCCTGTATTCGACTATCTGATAAGCAAATGCTTATTGGATAGTCAACAGAATAGTTGACAAGTCGCTTCCCTCCCCGCCCCCGCCCCTGCCACCTTGCTGCCTCTATCAGATAGAGGCAGCAAGGACGGGGGTACTTCAAAGCGGCAGCACCGCATGGAGCCCAGGGTCAGTTGCTCCGTGTGGCGCTGCTTCTTTGAATGCCGTGGGGAGCCTGGCATCAAGTCAGCAGAGACTCCCCAGCTGACCCCGGGCTCCGTGTGGCTCAGCTGCTTTGAAATACCAGGGCAGCATTTCAAAGGGGTAGCACCGCCCTATCAACTAATCGAATGGTCAATTACATGATTAGTAATTACACAGTTACTATTTGATTAGTCAATTACACGATTCTTAACATCCTTATCACAGAAACAGTGGGGAGCCTCAGGCAGACTCCCTACTTGCCCAGCCCCTCCCACACAGCACTCAGAAAAACAGCTGCTGGGCCATTTCCCTTTCACAGCTGTGAGCCTGGGAGAAGGAGGAGAGGCTTCATGTGATGTCCCTGCCCCTAGCACAATCCCATTGGCCAGGTTCTGGCCAATGGGAGCTGCCTGTTTGAAGAACAGGCTGTATGCGAAGCACCACTCCCACCTCCCCTGTGGCTCTTATTCACAAATGCACATGGCCCCTGCAGCCTGTGAAGGGGTGGGGCACTCAGGGAGGCTGCCCAATAAATGTGTTGGGTTGCTGGCTGGGAGTTACATAGGTAAAGTCTTCCAGTCAGAGCCTGCCCTCTGGCACCTAAGTCCCTCCCTGCAACACTCTTCCCCTTCCTCCCCCACTCCTGGCCCCCTACCTCACGTAATCTAAACTCCCCTCCCCTCCAAAACTCTCTCAGATCCTGCACCCCAATCGCCTTCCCAAGGTCACAACCCAAACCCCTGTACCTCAATCCCTTTCACAGAATCACAGAATACTAGAATCAGAAGGGTAGCCGTGTTAGTTTGAATCTGCAAAAACAGCGAGGAGTCCTGTGGCACCTTATAGACTAACTGAAGTGTAGGAGCATAAGCTTTCGTGGGCAAAGACCCACTTTGTCAGATGCATGTAGTTGAAATTTCCAGAGGCAGGTATAAACATGCAGGCCTGACTCAGGCTGGAGATGACGAGGTGATCCAATCAAGGAGGATGAGGCCCACTTCTAGTAGCTGATCTGGAGGTGTGAATTCCAAGAGAGCAGAAGCTGCTTTTGTAGTTAGCGAGCCATTCACAGTCTTTGTTTAATCCAGAGTTGATTGTGTCAAACTTAAAGATGAACTGTAGCTCAGCAGTTTCTCTTTGAAGTCTGGTCCTGAAGTTTTTTTGCTGCAGGATGGCTACTTTTAGATCTGCAATTGTGTGTCCAGGAAGATTGAAGTGTTCCCCTACAGGTTTTTGTATGTTGCCATTCCTAATATCAGATTTGTGTCCATTGATTCTTTTACGTAGGGACTGTCCTGTTTGGCCGATGTATATAGCAGTGGGGCATTGTTGGCACATGATGGCATATATTACGTTAGTGGATGTGCAGGAGAATGTACCAGTGACAGTATGGCTGATCTGGTTAGGTCCTGTGATGGTGTTGCTGGTGTATATATGTGGGCAGAGTTGGCACCGAGGTTTGTTGCAAGGAAACCCTGTCTAGTGTGGTCTGAGCTTCCAGATCCAGCATGAGCCGGAACTGAGCCAGGCTGCCTGCCCGCCCAGCTTCTAATATACTTTAAATGCAGTTCCCAGTGGGGGTAGGCCCCAGACCTGGCACAAGACGGGACTGAGCAGAGCTGCTGGCCAGCCTGCTAAAAAATTTACTGGTGGGAGGAAGGAGAGGAGGGAAATGCATGGAGTCTATAGCATTAACCTATATGTTTTTGCTTATCGGTTAATCAAGTACACTATTACATCTCTACCCCACACACCTTGCTATTGACTCTGGCCACTAGGCCGTGCTGCCGTGATAAAGATCAATATACTATTGGCATTAGGTAACACTACTCTGGTAAAGTGGGCTATGCTATTGACTCCAGTTTTCAGGCTATGCTATCTCAGTAACCGGGGCTGTGATCGGGCCCTCTCAGAGAATGACAGAGGCCCTAGCCCCAGGACCCCGACTTCTCACCCACAGCGTCATATTAAAACCAAAAGAATATATGAAAATGAACACTTAAGACATTTATTTAACAACAATTAAGTTATTATACGAATAGCATGTATATTAAAAAAGTAACTTTGTGAGTTTCCACTGCAAGTAAAACTCTTCATTTTAGGAATGCTTTTCTGGCTTTGTTTTGTGCAAAATCTAATTTACATGCATCATCACTGTTAATGTTAAGCATTGTGAGACCATTCAATGCTCTTCTCTCATTGTAGAACAATGATAGTTCTTTATTTAACACATTGAATATGCATTCACCTGAAGCCATTGATGCAGGGAGACTGACAAAAATATGTAATGCAATTGTGCTTAAGAAATACAATCAACAGACCAAGATCAAATATTTATTGAAGCAGTTCTTTTGGCTTGCAGTCTGATTTAAAGTTGGTGGAATGTGTCCTCCAGATCAGCTACTAGAAGTGGGCCTCATTCTCCCTGATTGGATCCATCTCGTCATCTCTAGCCTGATTCTGGCCTGCATATTTATACCTGGCTCTGGAAATTTCCACTACATGCATCTGATGAAGTGGGTCTTTGCCCACGAAAGCTTATGCTCCAACACTTCGGTTAGTCTATAAGGTGCCACAGGACTCCTCGCTGCTTTTGCAGATTCAGACTAACACGACTACCCTTCTGATACTATAACTGCAAAGTGTATATTAAATGGAAACAACTTGGAAGAAAAATATCAAAATTTAAGGCCCCTTATCTCCAGAGGCCTGTGCCAAATGGCCCTCCTGGCCCTCCTTCTGATAGGGCCTGGTTGTAATAAGACCTTAAGTGTTGAGTCACACCACGTTAGCCCAACTGCAGTTTTGTAAAGTACTATTCTATACTATACTTATCAACCCCGCAACACACCTAGAGGCCTCAACTAGATCAGGGCCCAATTGCATGACCTGTTATTAGGGATGTTAGCTATCATGTAATTGAACATAGGGATGTTAGCTATCGTGTAATTGAACAAGTCACGTAACCGCATGAAATCTTAGCAGTTACATGACTATTTGGTAGTCCCCAGAGGCAGGGCCAGCAGCGGGGGAAAGGGGGAAATGTGTGCAGTCAACATAAATTAACCGATAAGCCTAGGCTTATCGGTTAATTGTGAAGTTGTCTACACGATGACATCCCTACCTGTTATACAGATGTAAATTATAATATCCCAAAAAACTGAGTGCACCACCTGTCTAGCTGCTTTGAGATAGCTTTTCTCTTTATGCAAAGACAGCAGTGCAATTCCCATTAACAATAATGGAAGAATCATAGAAACATAGAAATGTAGGGCTGAAAGAAACCTCAAGAGATCATCTAGTTCAGTGTTTCTCAACAACTGGTCTGTAGAGGGTGCTAGTCCATGGCAGACACCTTCCCAGTCCCTGAGATTTCCCTAACTGTGACTTTGTCTACACTTAAAATTTTAAAGTGCAGCCGTGGCAGCACATTAAACTGAAAATGCGGCAACGGTGTGAACACTGGGAGAGAGATCTCCCAGTACTCTACGTAAACCAATTCCAAGAGGGGAGTAACTAACAGCGCTAGGAGCATGGCTCCCGGTGCTGTGGCCTGGTTTACACTGGCTTACAGCTCTATAACTTGCAGTGCTAGGAGGAGGGAGGTGGGAAGGGAGGTTCACTCCCTGAGCCAGAAAGGTACAGCACTATGAAGTGGCAGTGTAGACTTAGCCACAGTTTAGGAGGGCAGCAAATTGGTCTCTGATACCAAAAATGCTGAGAAACACTGATCTATTCCATCTCCCTGCATTGACACACAGGCCAGTCACATGCATTCTTAAAATTAGTGCTGAGGAGTAGTAACTTATGGTGCCTCAAAATAGGACTTTACCTAGGCACACATTATTATGTTCAAAAGCACAGAAACAGTTTTTAAAAAGTTTTCATATTGTTTTGGTTATTCCAAGTAACCTGAAACTGCATTCTGTAAACCAAAGAGCTACAATCATTGTTTATGAACAATATAGTGAAATGGACAATTTGCAAAACAGAATTTGCTTGAGAGACTTATAGCTAGGATCCTACTAAATTCACAGTCCATTATGGTCAAATTCATGGCCACAAGATTTGAAACAGATACATGTCACATTTTCTGCTCTTTAAACCTGAAATTTCACAGTGTTGTAATTGTGGGGTCTCGACTCAAAAGGAAATG